CAAAGCTATCTTTACGGTCTTGACCTACATTAAACAGTAGAACCATTCCAAAACTTCGCATTTACAGATTCATTATCTTGCCTTCAGGCACTTCAAGTCACCCTATCATCCTAGACATTTTAGAACTTTACAACGATCTTTCTACTGGCCAATGTGACGTCGTACTCTGCTGGTTGCCGGGTCACGTTGGCATAGAAGGCAACACAAAGGCCACTGCTGCAGCTAAAGCAGCTCTTGACAAGCCCTTATCTCCACTAATGATCCCGTACAGTGACTTCAGACCCACTATCAAAAGTTATACTCGGGACTTCATGCAAAAGAGGTGGGACACCCAAGTAGGAAGAAATAAACTTTATGAATTGACGCCAACAATTGTTTTTACTTGCTTGGGTCGTTAGTCAAGACGTTTTGAGGAAAATTTACGACTATGTTGTATTGACCACAGTCGGTTTACACATGACTATTTGCTAAAACGGATGGGGATGGACGTCCCATGTGTGTCTCTTGTGATGAAGTGTTCACCATCAAGCATATTCTGCCTGACTGTGTGGACGTTTCTACTGCAAGGGATTCACATTACGATGCAATTAATCTGAAAGATCTGTTCTCCTGCAGGAGCGGACATCTCATTGTTAGCTACCTGAGGGAAGTTAACCTGTACAATAAATTGTAAATATGTAATGTGAATGACTGATTGCTGGCTTTTCAATTTGGTGCTTTAAGATATTTTTACCTGTAATAATAATGTAATGAATATATATGTAAAAACAATTCTTTTTTAACTTTGTCTTTTAAAATGTGTATGAATTCAGACTTGATCTCGTCACTTTATGTCTGGAATAATGCTGATGTTACGTAAAACACAACTCAACTCAACGTTTGGGAAAATAGGCCCAAAATATCGGGCACACCCATCATGATGTTCCTAGCACTGTGCAAGGTTTCTGCTTAATCCAGTGGGGAAAAGTCATATAGTGATTTCTGGTGGCCATCTTGGATTTTTCGGAAAATGGGCCCAAAAAATCAGGCGGGGATTCGAACCCAGGTCTTCGGTGTGCCGAGCCAACGCTTTAACCACTAGGCTACCCCACCGCCCCATGTTTTATCATGATGTTCCCTAGCACTGTGCAAGGATTTCAGCTATTTTCCAGCGGGTGAAAATCAAAAAGTGTTAGAAGTGGAAATCTTTAATTTTTGGTGGCCATCTTATATGCCATCTTGATTTTTTTCGGAAAGTTGGCCCCAAAACTCAGACACCCTAAAAAAAAATATGTTTCATCATGATATTCCCCAGCACTTTACAAAGTTTCATGCCTTTTTCCCCCCGGCATGTAACAATCAACCTCAAACCTGGACCTAAGCCGCTGCACTATGTAGGGCAAGGTGGAGTCAGCCAATCACAATATACAAAAAAGTCACACATGAAAGTCCATGAAATGGAAAATATGCAAATCAAGGTGTGCTTTCCAACACAGGTTTGGGCTCCTTAGATGTGTATGCACCAAACCAATACTCCCAGGTACTTATATCAGTGTATGAAATAAGGCCTGCCCAACACAGGCTAGATTTCTGCAGGACGCAGCCCGATGGGGTGAAAATAAATGTTCAGATAAAGTGTCCACTGGCACTGTCTATTTAGTATTTAAGAAGGGCTGGTATGTTTTTGAAGTTACCAGCCCAGATGTCTGGCTGGATTACTGACTAATTTTCATACACTGCTTATATCAGATGGCAATTCAACACCTGTAGGTGTCTTGTAAACGTTTTGCGTAACTAATTCCATCTTAGCCTCAAAATGCAATAAGATGACTTTTTCTGATACCTTTGAGTTACGTTCACTTTGTGGAAAAATAATTTTCAAGAAATTCGAAGAAAAAATGGATTTATTTATATTTTATGTTGTGAAATCGCTTACATCCTTGAGATATGGGAGTCAATCCGTGAATCATAACAAAGAGAAAAATTCTGGTATGGAATTTGAAAGACCACTTGTCCTTCTATTTATGAAGGAAGATCGCTTAAAGCTTAAAGTTTCGCATCATCACTTAAGTTGTTGGAGTAGGCATTTTCTGCTTGAAATACAATTCCTACACTCACACTGGCATCTAAGCAATTAAAAATGCCTGAAGCACTCTTCATGAAGATTCTTTCTTCACTCTGGATTCAACTTTTTGACATCTCTGGAGTTTGTGTCATGTAAATTGAGAATTAAAAAAACTGATGTCGATTTTTTCATTTTTTCCACTTATTGCCTTAAATTTTCATGGAAAATTTCACATCATTGCTTAAGTTGACCGAGAGGGCATTTACGGTACTTCTTGAAATATAATTCCTACACTCACACTGGCATCTAGAGCAATTAAAAATGCCTGGAGCACACTTCATGAAGAAAATTTCACATCACTTAAGTTGACGGAGTGGGCATTGTCTTCTTGAAATACAATTCCTACACTCATGCTGGCATTTAGAGCAATTACCAATGCCTGCTTCAAACAAATTAAGAGAGAATAACAACATGGTGTCTTTTCAATTTCCCACCATGGCGGACCTGATCCACAAGCGCCATTTTCGCAAAGCCGCTATCTCTTCATAAAGATACTTTTTTCACTCTGGATTCAATTTTTTCGCATCTCTGACATTGCATCATGCAAATTGACAATAGAAACCGATGTCAATTTCTTTCACTTTTTGCCTTCAAAACCGGGAAAATAAAAATGCCAAAAAATCTGCGAACAGCAAAAGTCACCACTTTGGGATCTGCCTCATTTATCTGGCATGTTTTGTTGAAAGATATTGAACGGTTTTCAAGTTGTGCTCTGGAAACAAAGCCCACCCTTCCCTTTTGAGACTTAGTCCGAAACGTTTCCATGGAAACCAAGAAAAATAAAAATGACAAAAATCTGTAAATAGCAAAAGGTGCGCTTTTGGTTCTGTTTGATATATCTACCAATTTTTGTTGAAAAATATTGAACGGTTTTCAAGTTGGGCTGCAGAGAACACAAGACTGAATAAAAATAACGAAGGAAAAGCTATTTCTCTTATCGATCCTTGATACAGTATCGACCAAAAAATTGAGACACGTTATGATTCAACGTCTTGATTTCATAATTGACATAAATTTATGAAAATTGGCAAACATGTAGACAATGCATTGCTAAATCGTTCACAGTAAGTCAATAGTCAGTCAGTCCACCATTTCACACCAAACACTGTTCAATCTGCCGAGGCATGAAATTTACAAGATTGTCGATCATTTCCTCAAATAGCTCATACTACGTTTCATGAATCATTCATTTCCAATCTGCAATGTCTTTTGGTTCCTACCTTTCAACTTTGTCCTTGATGATTTGCCAGACATATTCGATGGGGTTCAGGTCTGGTGAAGCGGCCGGAAAATCCACTACCTGAATGCAGTTCCAACGACGAAGCCAAGCTTCGTTGTGGGCGGACATATGTATGCAGCCACTATCTTGTTTCATTACATAGGGAATTCCACTCTGTCTGACATTTGAATCTAGCAGTCCCTCTTGCAAAAGCTCACAGTACTTCCATCAATCAATGCGGCCTGTAATTTCCAGAAGCAGCGTTAACCCAAATTTCCCAATCCCACCCCACACCATCACAGAAGGTGATAACATTGGGCACATTTTTTCTCATTTTCCATTTCGACACCACCTTTTTCCTTGTAATTAAGAAAAATTGGAACTTCGATTCGTCTGTAAATATCCAGTTTGAAAAGTCAGTGTCCTTATTACCCTCACACCACTCCTGTGTTTTCTGCTTGGGCTCTTGCATCATCAACGGAACCTTTGTTGGCACTTTCTTCACGATTCCTGATTCTTTTAAACTCCACCTTACAGTCAGTTCAGATACTCCAGTACTCCCCAAAGCAGTGGCATGCTCACCCAGTTGTTTTGCCGACCAGTTTGGATGCACCGCCGCCAGTTGTGCATGTCGTCTCCTGTCATTTCCACTGAGTTTAAGAGGACATCCCTATCCCAGCTTGCACTGATAACTGCCTGAAATCTGGCAATAAGTCGGTAAATGGTACTCCGAGGAAGCCCCAATATTATGATGTCGGTACCTAGGAAAGGACGTCTGCTACAGTGTCATCACCTGACCCGGCCCAACAACAGGGGAGATAATGCAGAGAACGTCATACTGTTGTCAGCGGTGCAAAATAATACCCAAACAAGTTCGAATTCACCGCACAGCAACCAAAACTCAACTTTTTGTAAGTGTCTCATTTTTTTTGCTCGGAGCTATATATAGGCTGGTTAAACTTTTGTCCTGACTTGTCTGGATGAACCATACTAATGGTTTTCTCGTTGTACAAAGGCAGAAGCAAAGTAGATCACAAAACCACTGACAAGGGTAGGGAGGTCATACATACACACAAGAGGATCTTGTGGATCAAGAGGGGCAAGGGATGGAGGATGAGCATCTGCAATACACACACCCATAGTGATGGGCTGAGAGAAAGGAAATACTGAGTGTTTTGGTAAAGGGGAAGAGGTGAAACCTGCAAAACAATAGATAATACTGGAGAAAAAGGAATTCTGCAGCCACTTACATAGGAATTGGGTTTGTGAGGACACTTTCACTAATGATACTAATACCACCCCTCTTAGATTTACAGAATTGTTAATTGTGCATTTTCAATAAATCAAAGTGATTGCAGAATTATAATTTGTGTTTTCACCATATGAAAACTTTCATAAATTATGCAATACAAAAACATGTTTACATATTTTTATTCATCTAATGAATGCCTTTAACAATTCTTGACACCTTGACCTTTCAAATAAGTATATTAGGGATGCCATGATACATCGATACATCGATGCATCGATACATTTTCTAAGATGATACAATTATCGACACATTCAAAACTGTATCGATATTTAGCTTTGAAAGTATCGGTTTAAATATGTTTATGTATCGTTTACATTTTGCAATTGTATCATGTTTTATGATGTTATGAGAGTTATAAATGATTATTTTTCATGCACAAAGATGGGAAATTAGAACTTTTTAATCTCTGAGAATAAAAAATGTTGATCTTTTCATGGACAATTATAAAATATGAAATATTATTGTTCCAAATTTAACTAAATTTTTGCAATAATGCTGTGAATATAGGTATCATAATACGTATCGAATCGTGACATCGGTATCCTGATATGTATCGATTCATGAAACTTATGTATCGTGACATCCCAAAAGTATATCAAGGCCTATTCCATTGGAAACCTTGGGGACAAGTCTTCCTAGTAATTACTTGAATACAAGATACTAATTCTTAAACAAGAGTCATCAGAAGAATGAAAAATCCCCCCGTCCCCCACAACATTGAAAGAACAAATCATCTAACGGTTACTTAAAGTCCAACTCAGTGAGAAAATTTCTGTCTAATCGGTCCATTTTATACAAGAGAAGTTACTGAGCTATCAAAACAATAACATGGAATTGGGATGTGTAACTTTGTACTTCTATGTCAGGTACACACAAACATGAAAGTTAAGGGAAAATAAACAAATTTTAAGAATCCCTAATAGCAAAAGGCACCACTTTGGGATCTGTTTGATATATCTGCCATGTACTGTTGAAAGATATTGAACAGTTTTCGAGTTGTGTTGTGGAAACGAAGTCCAAATCTTACTTTAGAAGTCCAAATCGTTTCCTGGGAGAAAAATAAAAATGCCAAAAATCTGCAAATACCAAAAGGCACAACTTCAGGATCTGTTTAATACATCTGCCAAGTTTTGTTGAAAGATATTCAATGGTTTCCGGAAACAATTTCTGCTCAGTCTAACATGTTTCCATGGAACCAGGGAAAAAATCCAATTTTAAAAAATTCTTAAATAGCAAAAGGTAAGACTTCAGCCCTTGGTTAATACATGTACCAAGTTTCGATGAAAGTTCTTTCATGGTTTTCGAGTTGTGCTCCGGAAAACGAATTCCACCCTCTCCTTTTGAAACCCAAGTGCAAATTGTTTCCATCAAAATCTAGAAAAATGTTTCGATTGTTTCGATTGAAGTCAAGAAAAATAAAAATGCCAAATATCACCACTTGGGTTCTGTTTGATATATCTAGCAATGTTTTGTTGAAAAATGTTGAACAGTTTTTGAGTTATACTCCGGAAACGAAATAATTATGGACTGACAAGGCATTGACTATATCCTCCTGCATTATAAACTGGGGGATATAACTGTTAGATGGTTTCATAAACCCAGAGACTGTAGAAGGACTGTAGACATTTTATCTGTATAACATTCATTACGTTGACTAAGTTAAGCTGTTCACAGATAATAACCTATCAGATCTGTCAGATAACCTTGATGTTTACAGACTGAAGTCATATCTTTGAAATGCTTCTTTAAAAGTGGTAGCCATGAGTGTGGCCTCCTCCTTTGTTGTGGTACAGTTTTTCCAGTCAACTCTTCCTGGCAGATCCAACACCCTGGGCTGGGAAAGAACTTCCCTGAAACAAAACATCACTTTCGCTTAAAAGCTAGCTGATTTGTTTGAGTCAGGAACTGAATTAAAAATCAATAATTTGCACACACAGTAAAATAAATTGAATATTTGAATCCATTACTGTCAAATGAGTGACTAAATTAGCAGGACAGGGCCAGACAAGACACAAGTCAGAAAGAACTGAAAAATTTCGAAAATTGAAAGAGAAAATTAGTTTTTATTACTAATTGTGTGATAATATTGAACAAATTGGAGACACATTACAACCAATAGTGAAAGACAACAGATGTTGTGACCAGCAATGATCTTGAAGTATGTTAGGGGTAAATGGAAAAATTCCAAGCTGAGGTTTTTAAATCAGTATTGCATAATACCTCCATTTTTATAGAAACAAGAAGACAAAGTCATCAATATCCCCCGCAATGGCAAAATACTCTTCATGATTATGTCTATGAGTTATGATTATGTCAAATATTTAGGTGTGTATATAGAAAAGAGGAAGGAGAGTATTGAAAGGTTTTGAAAGGAGCACTATCACCAATTTCAGTGTAAGTCAAACTTGTTGCCATGGAAATGACAAAAATATTTTATTCAGAATTCCAAAACTACCAAAAGGCACAAGTACACCACCAGATCTATCTATGTGCCAAGTTTGGTGAAGAAATAGTGAACAGTTTTAGAGTTCAGCTCCGGAAAAGAGCACTACCACAATTTCAGGCTAAGTCAAACTTGATGCCATGGAAACGCCAAAAATATTTTATTCAGAATTCCAAAACTACCAAAAGGCACAAGTACACCACCAGATCTATCTATGTGCCAAGTTTGGTGAAGAAATAGTGAACGGTTTTAGAGTGCTGCTCCGGAAAAGACAAATGTGCATGGACGGACGGACGCAAGGTCGGAGTCCATTTTAATACCCCCCGCAAAACGTGTTGCGGGGGATAACAATAATTCAGTCAACGAGGCACACTGCTTATGAGTCTGGCAATGGCAAAATGGGGAAGTCTGTCCTCTGTCCCACTAGTATTGTATTTCTTTGAACAATAAGGGCAGTGTGGTAACCTAGTGGTAAAAGTTGTTGAATGTCAAGGCCAAGATCTGGGTTTGATTCACACATGTAGATTCCCACATGGGTACATGTGTGAAACCTATTTCTGGTGTTCCCCCAAGTAATATTGCTGAAATATTACTCAAAGCAGTGTAAAACATGACACTCTCACTCCTTGCACAACATGGAGTGTGATTCACTCAGCCATGGTCACATCACCAACACCATAACACAACCAAATCTGTCATGAGGTCACAGCGTTATGTCAGCTTGACATTGACATTACAAGACACAGCCATGCCTATCAAGCAAGTGAATCTAAACGTATGTCATGTGACTATCAATAATTACCCCAGTTTTAACATTGTGCACACCAGCAAGGTTTCTTGCAAATATGATGATTTGGTGTCCTCCCATAACGCAGACGGGCAGTTCGCAGATGCCTTAAAACAACATTATTTACGGTTCAATGAACAGATTAGCTACTCCCTGTTACCTACACATTATAATGGAATAGTCCCAGCAAAAACACAAGAAAAAAGCTGAAACTGTATTATTTACTTTGAAATATGTCCGAAAAGACATTAATTTGAATTTTGATTGCTGCAATATTTCATAACAGTTGATTTTCATGAACATTTCGGTTTAACCTACTTGTCTAACGGGAGTTGTCATCATCACATTGAAAACATTGTGAAGAAGATATGTAGAATTATGGAGCATTTCAGAAATTAAATTCCCACTAAATAGATCAACACCAGTTTTTCTTCAGGATCTACTCCCAACTGTACTAGTCAATCGGACAATCTATGAGTTAAGAAACTCTGATAATTTTAGCCAACCATGTACAAGACTGAGGTACTCAACATCATCTTTATTCCATCAGCAGTTAAAATGTGGAATAATATTCCCTCAGCTATTAGAAATTGCGACTCTGTTGCATCATTTAAATCTTATATCCACGTGAAAGAAAAATGTGTACCTAAATATTATTCATATGGAATAAGGAACAATTACATATATTGTTAGTAATTGTTAGTAAACTTACCTCTGGATTATGGTTGCCTTAATTCTGTGGTTTCCACAGACACATACAGAATTAACCCCAAGTCATAGCTATCCCTAGTGGTATGCCTCTCTCCTAACCAATAGTTACCTCCCCTTGACATAACGTCACACCATTGTTGTTTGAAACACCTCACAATTTTTCCAAAGAAAAAACTGTCTTCTAGAGGATAAGGAGTGGAGGTTGGGCGGGACATATATCCCATAATCCAGAGGTAAGTTTACTAACAATTACTAACAATATATGCAATTGTTCCTAATTATAGCGTAAATATTCCCTCTGGATTATGGTTGCCTGAATCCCACATACTGAAGGAGGGCTATCCCAAGAAGTATAATCCTCTAACATACCACTAGTAAATATTCCTCAAACATCTTAGACCTCTAAGGATAACTATGACTTAGTAATGTATAAAACACTGATAAAATCATAGGATTGTGTTAATAATGTGAAGGAAGATAACTACTAAACTGCTAGGTGAGTAGACTCTAATCTATTCCTTCTAATCAATTATTTCTGATACCAAGCCTTCTGACGTCATTTCCGATATTCTTATGTCATTTCCGGTTCTCTGAAGTCACTCCCGGTCCATTCTCAAAGTTCACTTCCGGTTCTATGACATCACTTATGACGTCACTTCCGGTTCTATGATGTCACTTCCAGTCCATGATGATGTTAATATTCATTCCGTATGCTTGATCTGATGTCACTTCCGGTTAATGACATCACTTCCGGTTAAATGGCGTCACTTTTGGTTGATTAACCCCCCCATAAAACTAAAACAGCGGAACGACAGAAAGAGACTTCACCCTAGAATACTGAACCTCACCTCAGTGCTCGGTTAGTATCACAAAAAGGTTACACGTAATCTTTGCTTACCTGTTAAATCTCTGTTATCTTCCTTGCATGATCTGAATAATACATGAAGACCTGGTGCTCCACACACACACACACACACACACACACACACACACACACACACACACACACACACACACACACACACACACACACACACACACACACACACACACACACACACACACACACACACACACACACACACACACACACACACACACACACGGCAGAGGAGAGGCCCTCCATAGAAGAGGCTACGTCTCTTAAATATAAATTGATAAGCGAAGGCAACAGTCTTCCTGAGCCATGAAGCAATAGTGTTCTTAGAGATCTCTGTATCTACATTTGTCTTGCATGAGAGGAAGAGATGGCGACAGTTACGTCTAAAGGTAGATGTGCGTTGTAAGTACCATTTAAGGGCTCGGATCGGGCATAGTAACCTTGATCTATCGGACCTTGAAGCAGTGGCAGGAAGGGCTGGTAATTCATAACATCTGTGTCCGAAAGGACCTGCAGCGGCTAACTGATTCTTGGCTGCGAACTCTGGTACTGTCCTACAAGACATTGACTTATAACCCTCAGCAAAGGCAATAGATTTAACGTCAATTGCATGCAACTCCGATACTCTTGAGGCCGTGGTGAAGGCAAGGAGGAAAGCTGTCTTGAAACTCAAATATTTCAGAGAGGTATCTTGCATAGGATCAAAGGGGTATCTCTATAGAGCTTGTAATACTAAGCAAAGATCCCACTTGGGGAAACACTGTTGGAGATGTAATGTCCTTAATCTGAGATGATCTAATAAGCTTGTGCAAGGAACGATTTGATCCCACTGACAAACCCTGTAAATCCAAAACCGAAGTAATTGCTGATCTGTAGCCCTCAATAGTGTTATGCTTCAATTTCTTAACCGTCCTTAGATAGAGGAGAAAGTCCGCTATAATAGGAATGGTGACTGGAGAACTGAGCAGTTGTCGCTCTCTTCTCCACTGGATGCAGACATTCCACTTGGCGTCATAAAGGGCTGCTGTTGAAGGTCTGATAGATTCAGAGATAGCCACAGTAGTTTGTTCGTTAAATCCCTGTTCCTTGAGGGAACTGCAGATAGTCTCCATACATGAAGCAATAGGAGCCTTACATGCTCGTGGAATCTGTTCGACTTGGGCTGACTGAGAAGATTTTTCCAAAGCAGAAGTCGAAGGGGCTTGTCTGTCAATAGATGTAGAAGATCTGTGAACCACGCCCTGGTTGGCCATGCTGGAGTTACCAGATAACTACACAGTTGTGTTGTGCAATCTTGGCTAGTACTTCCGGAATTAATTTGAACGGAGGAAACGCATAAGCTATGAGATTCTCCCATGATATTGATAGGGCATCCACTGCCCAGGCCGTAGGATCTGGAACCGGACTCACAAATATTGGTAGTCTGTTGTTTCTTGACGTCGCAAACAGATCTATGGATGGCGTCTCCCAATTGTCAGTAATGAGCTTGAATGCCTCCATATTCAGAGTCCACTCCGTTGCCACAACCCAACCCTGCCCTGCCTGGAGAGGGAATCGGCTGAAATGTTCACCTTTTCACCAATGAAGAGCCAAGGAGCTAGCGATATCCCGAACGGTAGGACACGAAACTGTAATCTCCATCCCTTTACCGCAAAACAAAGGTACTTCTGTGAATGAGGATGAATAGGTACGTGGAGATAAGCGTCCTTCAAGTCTATGCTGATGAACTTGGAGTCCTGTGGAATAAGTGTTCTCAAGTCGGCCAACAATTCCATCTTGAACTTGGGTGGTTTCCTTAAATAGTTCTTGTTCAGCACTTTTAGATCTATGATTCATTTCGTCCGTATCCTTCTTCGGAACAAGGATTACCGGGGAGTAGAAACCGCAAGACTGGTCCGCCGGGGGGATTTCTACTATGGCTCGTTTGTCTAAAAGCTGTTGAATGGCTACCGATGCTCCCGCTAAGCGATCCCCTTGCAGAAAAAATCTTCCTACCGGCTGATAAGTTACTGGGGGTAGGTTGTCCCAG